CCCCTCCCAATGGGGTCCTCAGCTCCACCTTGGGTGGCAGCTTCTTTTGCTGCTTCAGCTCTTTCCAAGTCCTGGCAGGCATTGCACTTGGCTCACCTCTCCCAAGCTAGCTGCCTCATGCACTGCCTCAAACTCCTACCAACCTGCCTCAAACTCCACTCTCAAGCTGGCCAATTACCTCATGCAAACCTGCCTCACAAGCTGGCCAATGACCTCATGCAAACCTGCCTCACACACCCCTCTCAAGCTGCATTTGTTCTCTCTGGCTGGCTGCCATCCTTTATGGCTATGAACTTGTCTCACTACCTGCATGCTCATCTTCATCTTTGTCTGGCTCTAGCCATGGAGAACTTTCTTTCTCAAGATCTACCTTTCCCAAAGCTAGGGCTTCATAGAAGCTGTTCTTCAGAGAATCTAACTTATCACTGAAGTGCACCTCCCTCATGATGAGCAACTTCTGCAGCTCTGACATCTTCATGCTGAAGTACACAACTGTGCCTGCAAGGATCATAACTGAGACCATCTGTGTGAGCGCCACCATCTGCATAGTTGTCTCCATCTCTGAGGCGACTCAACTAATCATCACACCTTGAAGCTTGATCTTCAATGGCAACTCAATCAAGCACACACAATGGCAAGCTGGCAACTGTGGCACACCACAACAAGCAAACTACAACGCCTGAGAACACCCAAGCATTGTTTTGCACAACTCAGGCTAATTGCGCTGTAACTGCAGGAGCCTGCACACAGCTCTGCTAGCTACACACTCATCTCCATGATCTGGGATGTTCCTCTCCAGCTCCAGCTCTAGTATAAATGCTCCAAAACTCACATACTTTGGGCCACCTATGGACCCAAACAAGTCAGGAGTAACAACTCTGAGAGAAACTCTATCTTCCCACCCACTCTCTCGAACTAGCACAAACTCACCTTGCCAGTTCCTCCAAAAGACTTCCACAACTGCATCTCCATCTGGCCACATGGCTCCAAAATCAACTAGGGCCTCTGCTTGAGCCAAGGATCTGTTGCATTTAGCTAGCAATCAATTAACTCCCCTTCCCCCTGCTGCCCAGTCAGTCCTCTGCCAGCTTCTTTTGTCCAGCTTGTCCATCTGCCATCTTGAGCCACACCTGGATGCTTTTCAATCTGCCCTGCAACTGACTGTGTGGTTAGCTATCTTTGCCAGCTGGTCAGCTGTGGTTTGTGTTTGTGTGTCTTTCACTGCTTGCTAATTAGTAGTTACTGCTGTGTAGAATGAGCTTGTTGTAAACTTGATCTGAAGATCAGCTGCACCAAAGTCTGACACTGCAAAACATCACACCTTCAAGCTGGCTGGCAACTCCATGCAAAACCTCACACCTTCAAGCTGGCAACTCCATGCAAAACCTCACACCTTCAAGCTGGCAACTCCATGCAAAACCTCACACCTTCAAGCTGGCAACTCCATGCAAAACCTCACCTCACACCTTCAAGCTGGCAACTCCATGCCAAACCATTGACCTGGCTCAGAATCCTTTTGTGCTTTTATGGAGTCCTTGCCATCTCTGGCATGGAAATGAATTAATAACTGACTTAGCTTTTCTGGGCCTACTCCAAACAAAGCAGCAATTCTCTGTGACCAAGACAAACTGGCAACTACTGGTTCCAACAACTAGTTTCAAACAGCCCCCAGCTGGAAAACATCATATTGTAGCAGCCAGCTGTAGGCTGTTGGCCAAAAGAGCTGTCCCTGCAAAACTGCAACTGATCAGCTTCTGCAATGAAGTACTGTACTCACCTGGCCCCAGCAATTCTGAAAACCAACGGCTTCTATGTAACTTTGAAACACTCTATCAGGATAGCAAGCTAATTACTGATTCTTTCCCAACTATCTCAAGACCAGCTAACTCTATCTTCTCACCTTCTTGGCTGGCTTTCCCAGTAAGCTTGCAGCTTCTCCAACTCACTGATCTCAAGCTTTAGCTTCCCTTCTGTCATCAGCTTTGGTGCCTCTGGCATCTGTGCAACTATACACCAATCCATCTTGAAGTGGCCAGCTTTGTGCCTGCAGCTGGCGCCACTCAGTAAAAGAAACTTACAACCTAACCAACTGATGAAGCTACACAAAGAGAATGAACACAAGCCAAAGCAACTGCAGCCAACTCAAATGCAAAAACACATCTGAATAAATAACAGGGCACATCAACACCTCCAACTTCTCAATGGTGGACTCCCACTCTGCCACAGCTATGGACCATGGAGCAGCTTTCTGCACAAGCTCATCTGATGGTGCATCCTGCAAAGGGTCTTTGGCTCAGTGGAAAGGAAACTGATTAACTAATAATTAAAGCAGTTGTGAGGCAGCTTGTTTATATTTCTCTTTCCCTGCTTCTCTCCACCATTAAAAAACCGTTGCATGTAACATGACTTGCTTCAGGGCACTGGGTTGAACTGCACCTTCTTCAACTCTGGCCGAATGGTGTTCAGCAAGGCATTCTGCTCAGCCATGACATCTTTGAAGGTGATCGTGTCATCGGTCAACTTCTGAGCTGACTAGAACTGCTAATGGCCACTACCCCAAAGGCTACTGCTACCCAAAGCTAGTGCTAATTCCCTACTAAACACCTAGTTATATGCCCCCCTTTAAAGTAAAATGTGGCAGAACTAATTACAACCAAAGAAAGCTCATCACTAAGCCAAGAGTCTCTTAGAAACCTCTTCTCCCAAATGCAAATCTGCACCTGCAACTGTGCAGACCTCACTGCCAGGTCCCACTCTGCCATGTAGCTGGCTGCATCTGTGGCATGTGTGGGAGCTGCCCTGTATTGCAGCAACATACTTGTGAATGCTTTGGCACCAGACCAGTTTGAACCTCAGCTAACTGGCTGACTGGCAACTGTGTAACTATTGAAAAAGGACCCACCAAACAATCAACTGTGTCCACATCTGCTTGAACAACTTCTATACCCAAGCTGGGCTACTCTCCTCCCAGTCTAGCATCAACTGGTACAGGTGCCTCTGCACATCTATGTGACTTGCTGCATCTCGATCAGCTCCTTAATTAGCTTGTGGCAAACTGCAAAACTGCTGCAAAACTGCAAAGCTAGTTGTGCTGAAATTGAAAACTTGCATGAAAAGCTACAAAGCTTTGCTAATGACATGCACAACTGCTCATCTCAAGCCAGACCAACTTGGTGGCACTGATCCAGCAGCTGTCCATCACTGTTGACAACTTTGAGTTCATCTCTCTCAAGATCTGCATGATGTAGGCTATGCTTGCAGCTAGCATCACCTAATTAGTGGCTTTGCAGTGGTCTAACAAATAAACACTCAAACTGTTGACCAACTAAAGCTGAAAAAAAAACAGCTAAATTACACCAAGCAGCCATTCCAATGTCCAACTGTGCCACCACCAGTGCCCCCTTGGACATGACAACTGTGCGAGCATCTCCTGGGCTGCAGGGGGTTGGTCAATCTTTCTCAAACTTTCCCAAACTTTCCCAAAGAGAAGCTAAGTCAAGCTGGGGCTCTGTTGCTGAAAAACCCAACTGCCAGAGCTACAAGCCCAACTGCCACCTGTGTCCTCTTAGCCTTCATCTTGCTGATCAGCCCTGCCAGCCTGCTCATCTCTGCAACCTGAGATTGTCAACTGAACCCAAACAAATGCATGAAATCAGTGTAATTAACTCATGCTGAAAAGAAAACTAACCACCAACTGCTGTGGAAGCCCAGCAGCTATGCAAAGCTTGAAGCTGAAGCACAACTTGCTTGGAGAGCTGACAGCTGCTCCAAGCTCGCTTTTTCATGCTGGCTAATTCCCTCATGCACAACTGCCTCAAACTCCCACCAACCCTCTCTCAAGCTGGCCAAACTCCAGCTGGCCAAAGCAAACCTGCCTCAAACTCCTAGCAACCCTCTCTCAAGCTGGCCAATGACCTCATGCAAACCTGCCTCAAACTCCTACTAACCCTGCAGCTTTGGCCCAGCTCTGCTTCCTTTTTTGCTCTCAGCAGCTGGCTTCTAGCTGGCTGCTACTGGCAGCTCCCTGCTAGGCTTCAGCCACCTCCTTGTGATCTTTCTTTTCATCCACCTCTCCTTCAGGCTCTTCTTTTCCTTCAGGTTCTTCTTTTAGCACATCTTCCAACGGTTCTTCCACCTTGTCTTTGGCTGGTTCTTCTACTTTCTCTTGTATCTTCTCTCCTCCCTCTCCCTTTGAATCTTGCAGGTGCAACTTCTCTTTTTTCTCTGGAAACATCTCACTGAGATCTGATCCTACAGGGAGCTTTGCAACACCTATTTACCTGCAAACCTTACCTGTTGCATTGCTACCTTCCTTTTTGCCACTGTGGCTGCTGAAGTCTCCAAACCTCCTGCCCCCACCCAGCCAGCCAAGGAAGAGGCAAGAGAGAAAGAGATGAGAGAAGGAAGAAGGAAAGGAACAACTAAATCAAATGGAAACTCAAGTCTACCAATACTAAATCAAATGGAAACTCAAGTCTACCAATACTAAATCAAATGGAAACTCAGTCCAAATCTCAAAAGGAAGCTCCAGCAATACTAAATCAATTTGAAACTCAGTTCCAAATCTCAAAAGGAAGCTCCAGCAATACTAAATCAATTTGAAACTCAGTTCCAAATCTCAAAAGGAAGCTCCAGCAATACTAAATCAATTTGAAACTCAGTTCCAAATCTCAAAAGGAAGCTCCAGCAATACTAAATCAATTTGAAACTCAGTTCCAAATCTCAAAAGGAAGCTCCAGCAATACTAAATCAATTTGAAACTCAGTTCCAAATCTCAAAAGGAAGCTCCAGCAATACTAAATCAATTTGAAACTCAAGTCTGCCAATACTAAATCTGATGGAAACTCACCTCAACATACTATTCCCCATGCCCCCATCGTTAGGGGGGGGGGGGGGCTCCCCTTTACTAATCCCCATTGGACATTAACACTTGCGGATTCTCAGGTTCCATGCTATCCGTAGCATGTATGTGCGCTGCCCCAAAAAGCTACGTCTCAAGCCTCGTCGTCCTCTAGCTCGATCTGGCCGGGCAGGTTCGAAGATCGGGACCATTGGCCCGAGTCAGTTGCCCCCAGATGTCGTGGACCATCTTTGGGATCCCCAGAAATGGAGTCATGCGGATGCCCGAAATCTTGCAAGGGAACAACTAGGTCCTCCAGTAGAGAGGTTAGAATAAGGGTACACTTTTGTCAGTAGTCTATGTTAGTAGGGGAACCCTCCCCCCCAAAAAGGGTAAAAGGGCACTACTGGGGGGACCTAAACAAGCTGGAAACCCTGTAACTTCCGCGTGGTTTGTGGTTGGTTTACTTGCAATTTGGCGAACAGGGCATCCGCCATAACGAGCAAACGAGCCCTTAGGCTTACATACTGGCTGCCAACTGCTGTCTAAACCTCCTTCTAGAATCCTTCTGGAAAAGGCCTCATCCTCCGTCCTGTCTCCAAGTCCCAAAGTGATTGTTTCACCATCCCCTTCAAAGAAAACCACCCAAAGTTCCAGAAAAAATGAACAGGTCAAGTTGGGAGATCTTGCTGTGGCGGTGCTGTTGTTCACCTAAAGCTGTCAACAGGCTCCACAGGAGCAGCCCTGTGGGTCTCTCGAGATTGGACCCAACATGTGCTTCTACTTGTCTTTCCCTTGAAGCAGCCTCAAACATGGGTGTTCCCCCGCCCTCCCCGCAAAAAAGCAAAAAGACGCTTGTGGGGGCCTTCAGGGCGGCAGTGCGCGTCTCAGGGGAACTGTTACAAAAAGTGATCTGAGCGGGCTGCGGCACCATTTTCTAGTCCAGTGACCCTTGGTCAAGAGGGAACTCTTTCCGGAGTTGACCATGTTCCTCCATTTGCTTAAGCCCCCATGAACAAAAATGAACATGATTCCAGTAGTGATACATCCCCGCTGCAACTAGGGAAAAGAAAACACATTCTTACGCAATGAAATGTTCAGTGAGTTTAATGCAGATCCCACACCAACCAAACAGGCAAACATAAGAAATCCACTGAACAACTGGCGTCTGGGTATGTCCGAAAACGGGACTCGGACCCCTCAAAACTGGTCCGTTTTCTGTTGAATTCTTGTTTCCCTTGAAACACAACCAACAACAAAGGGGTCCTCCATGACAGGAAACGCCCGTGCGCTCTGGCTCCTCACCATCTTGCAAGCCGCAAAAGGTTTACGATGCCCATCGCCCACGAGAAACAAAGGGGCCATACACCGCATGCTCTCGCCCCAGCGTGATTTCAAGTTTCATGCACGTTTTGAACATCAAAGGCATTGTCTGGCAAACTGCTCCGCTGGCCTCTACACCTTCAAAGCTACCGAACGGGGAAACGGAAATATGGGTGTCTTTTTTTGGAGGGGACCACCAAAAACGTGTGGTTTCCTTGTAACTTCCTCTTAAACCCCACCAAACAGGGGGGGGGGAATACGTTCTTTGCTTATTTGTTGAAACCCCCAAAAAGAACACGCCACCCATCTCTCTCTTGACCCCAGCTTTCGGGGCCCCACCAGCTCGGAGCGCCCAAGCAGCCGCTTGCCTCGCGGCTGGGCTGCTGGTTGTAGCGGATGCCCGGCTCCCCGGCTGCACCTCTCAAGAACTGCGTGGCCCCGGGCCCAGGTTGACCCCAGCTGAGTCAACCCAGGGGCGTTCTGCTCCAAAAGCGGGCGGATTCCCCACGAAGCCCAGGTTGACACCCACATGTTCTTAAACTGGGAAACATTGGTGCCCTTTTAGGGGAAATAGATGGGTTTCCCTGGTAGGCGATTAAACCACCACACAAAAACCAGGGAAACCCGTCTATTTTTCGACCAACACAACCAAAAGGACACCTACGTTCATGCCCCAAGAACTTCGGCCCCGGCCCCATGTTGACCCCACTTTATTCATATGGGGGTTGGTTTTTGGCCCAGCTCTTGTTGCCTTCCCGTTTTCCGCGACCCAATCAGACAGCCCCCCCCCCGCGGTGAACGAAGCCTGAACGGCTTGCTGCTACTCTGCAGGGGCGTTGATTTGTTTGCTCCCCAGCAAGATGTGGGAAACTCAGTGAGCCCCTAGTTGATGTTGGAAATTGAGCGAGTCCCCCCTATGTCCCTCCCAAACAAGCCATTTGTCAATCGGTTGAAACATGTTGCTCAACACCAAAGTAAAGGGACACCACCATTCGGGGGCAGTTGGGGAAATCAGCTGGGCGTCTTTTTGTTTGGCTGGTTGGTGGGAAAACCCACACACGTTTTCGCGACAAGTGAAAGGTTCAAGATCCAATTCAATAATGTCGGCACATGATCAACAACCCCCCTCTGATTCAAGACGTCCGATTTTCCAGTTGACTGCCAAATGAAAACTTCAACATAGGATTGCGCATTCTGCACCGATTGCTAAGGCGCGTTTCGGGACCCAATGCTGCATAAAGCAATGGATTTCAGGGCTCCCCGTAGGCCGGGCTACGGCGCACAAATCTGACGAAATCCTTGTGCCACGAGCGCGCAATCAATGGCTCTGTATCTCTGGGCTGCAAATTCCAGCGAGGTCCCCGTTCTTGGGACCCAAGCTGACTGGGGCTCTAAGATGGCAAAAAAGGTGTTGTGAGGCCGCACCTCCTAATCCCCCCGGGTGATAGAAGCCCCTCCTCCCTGCGTTGCCAGGCCCAAAAGGGCACGCCAGTTCAGTCCGTTCCGGTAGCTTCCCTCTAACCATGAAAGAGCACAGAAGAGTTTGAAAGACTAATTTTCATGTCGACGCCACATTCCACCATGTCGGTTTTTTCCCCCTTGCCATCAAGACCATGGTGCTATCCCATTACTTTCACATTTTCCCTTATTTCTAGCTCCCTCAAGCGGCCCACTCTCGCGTGAGTTAGCCCAGGCCCTCAGATTGCGGCATGCCTTCCGCCGGCAGGCCAGGGTTTTCCCTAACTCATGCAATCTCAACCAGCTGTGATCTTTTGGGGTCGACTTTGGACAAATGAGAAACGGCCCATGTTGACAACGGCTTGAAATTGTAGTGCGTAGCTGAAATTTCCTCCACCCTCCCGCGCCACTGTTTGGAAGGAAAGTTTTGAAGGCAACTTTCTGACTGTGGCTTTCGTTTGGACACCGGTCCCAAGCTTAAAGCAAGACCGGGAGGGCCTTGCGGCCTTGGTTTTTTGTTTGCTTATGACCCACGGTCTGAGTCGAGTCGAGGAGCACCCAGAACCTATTGCCAGACTAAACTTGGCTTTCCACGCTTTGGGTTTCCTTAATGTCCCCTTAGCAGCAAACACATATATCTCGTTCTCCTTTTACAACCTATGTGGATTGGACATCCAAGTCACCTCGAATGTTTTTTTGGAGGTGAGGGAGCGGGACACAGTGATGGACAACCACCAAAAACTTGCAACTTGCAACTGTTCAAGGGGGGTTGAAATTTTGATTCGGGGTTGTCTGATTCCTGTTCGTGGTTGGGTTCAGACCACTTTTGGAGGGAACACCCTGCCAAATAGAAGACGGATTCTACTTGGGTCCGGGCTCAACATTACAATGCTCTTGAAAAGGCGCCTTGTCTAAATCCATGTTTGCTGGCAAAAAACCAGCGCGGAGGTCCCGGCCTTCCCAGACATGCTTCAGCAGCACACCGTCTTGCCGCATCAGGAGGCACACGCATCTCATCTCTCCTCCCGGCGAGCAACCACACCATTTCTCACCTGGGTTCATTAAAGTGAGCATCACTGGATCTGTTCTTTGTTTTCTCCGATTGGGGGGGCGGCTTGAAACCCAAAAAGTCAGCACCTCTTCCGTGTCCCCTGAGATTGTAAACATGTTAAATCACCTTGCGTTTAAACGCCCTCCCCTTTTAAACCCCGGCCTGCTTCAACATGTTCCCCTCAGATCCCCCAAGGCCGAAACGATCATTTTTCTAGGGGTACCTCCCCATTCTTTCCAGGGATCCTTCTTTTCCGAAACCATCAAAAACGCAGGGGAAACAAATCCGGTTTTTGCAAAGAACGATGGTCGAAAAGAATGGAAGAGGAATCAACCCCTAGAATTTTGCCATTCCACCCTCCTGAGCCTTGCCACTGCAGCTTCAAGCGGAGGTCTTCCAGATTCGCCGCTTTGGTCAGCGCCACCACCTGGGCGCGGAAGGGCCCCAGCCCTACTGCAGCTTAAGATAGGTGCACCACCCAATTTAGAACCTATTTTAGTGGGGATCGGGATGTTCACTGGGGGACGGGCTTTTGACCCATGGCCATATGCGAAAATCTACTCGGTTGACGTTGGAAGAGCAAAAATGCAAATTTTAGCAGTTAAGTGGGGATTTCAATCACTAGACCGGAACAAGCAAAAAATGAAAACACAAAAACCAACAACAAGCGTGATAGTCTTAGTTTGATTCCAAACTAGTGCGAGCCATTATGGCATAATACGTATGGCATATGGAATAAGACGTCTCTCTCGCTCTCTATAGTTTGGAACCGTGTCTGGCAAATGGCTGAACCCATGCATAGTGGGGGAACATGATTAACAACCCCCCCTCCCCTCAAGCTCGACAGGGGTTTGGAAAACCGGATTTTGAAGGCCCCTCGAATTTCTCTGGACCTTGCCAGTCCTCTCCGGTCCTTTCCCGTGTGGACCCCTGTCTGGCAAGTAGGACCGCAGCAGGAAAGTAAAAGGACATTGCGCTTTTTTTCTTCTCCCAGGGCCGGAAAAGGCCAGGATTAATCACAAGGTCGTTGTGTTCTTCTGGGAGAGGGGGGGGAGGGGGGCTAACCTTGAAGGGGGGTACCCGTTACGAGCTTGTCAAATATTGTGTTGGTTTAACAAGCTGTAACAATAAATTTGCTGTTTCCGGCTAGCTGCTTTTTGGTTTACGCAATGGCAACCCGTGAGAGCATGCAAGAGCCAACATTGGCAAAAGTATTGGCAACAGCGTTGGTATTGTTCTGCATTTTGGGCTGGAAAGGACGCCTCAATCAGGTAACGCTTGGGTAGTGCCGCAAAATAAAGAACAGCCTTGTCAGTGTCTTTTAAAGCAGTATTGGCTGGCAGTCGGCTGGCAAAACCGGGCGTCTGTAATCAGACGGGGTGTGTTCATCATGTGCCAACATAATACATGTTTGAATGCATTTGCAGTAGTATACATGTATGTACGTGTATGTGTATGTATATGTATATGTATATGTATATGTATACATATATATATATATAATATTTGATGTCTTCTTCTTTCACAACAAACAACATATCGTATTAATATGTGTATGCATATGGATATACGTAAACATATGAATATCAGTTCTCCAACAAGGAAAGCTGGACAGCTCAACTTGGCCAAGAATATGTTGCCCGAGTGCGAACACACCAACCCCTCAAACACCGCCAGTTTTGGTCAATTTTGCTAAAGGGTGATCTGAGATACGCTGCTGTTCTCTCACCTTGGGAATGTTCAACAAAACTGGAATTCGCTTTGGAGCCCCAAATGGGTGCACTGCCAAGGCACCATGGGCCAAACAGGATGTCAAACCAACCTGGGCCTAACAACAGTCCAAGGAGCATCCCCAACACCATGAGCCAAACATCATTCTCTAGAAGCTCCCCAGAACCCTCCCGCACCAGGCCGCAAAGCCAGACTAGACCCAGGATTGGCGGATTCACTGCGCAGTCGCCGGAGTTAAAGAACGAACCGTAGGCGTTTCTCCCCCTCATGTTCTCTGGGCTACTCTCAGATCCACCGCTAAAACTTTAAGCTTTGGGTCAAATTCGGAAACTACCACTAACCAGTAAAAGGCCAAAAGGCCAAGGAGCCGGATGGCTGGGAGCCAAGAATTTTTAAAGAATCTTCCTTGGGGGATCCGTTTCCGGGTTCTCTGTCCCTCTCTACATCTCCGGACCTGAACACCACACTCGAGAGCCTGGGGCTCCCCGCTCTGCGCGGCAGTGTGCCAGGCAGCTCCTCACGGTACGCCGTGGAAATGTGGAGCCGCTTGGAACCCAGGCAGCCCCAAGCAACTGGCATGGGACATACTTCAGCCAGCTTGGGCTTCTGCGGCTGGATGTCCATTGGACTAAGCCAACTTGACTGTGTCAACAATGGGTACCCTCAATGGAACCCTGGTAAATGGAACCAAGGACTAGAATTTGCGGTCTGGTGGCTTCATTTTGTCCAACTCGGGCTGTGTCTTCCCATCGTCAGTGGCCGTGGGGCTTTTAATGGCCGAAAGTGGCCCCCAATGGCCGGGGGTGATTGAACGGACGAAAGCTTCACCCTGAAAGGGCCCAGGTTGCTCAAAATAATACATGGTGGATCTGTTGGAACAGTCTTGCTTCTCCGAACTTGCCCAAAATAAAAGACCAACAAAAGGGTTTGTCTCGTTTTGAGGGAGCCCTGCAAAAGGTGGTTGTCCCCTTGGATTCCCCCTATAATCCAAAAAACGGGACCCTAAAAAAAGACAACCCCAAAATGTTCCATTCTTTACACCCCACCAGAGGTGGTGACATGCGTTTCCGTCCGTCCTCCGGATCCACTCTGAGCCGCGCTGGCATCAGCCTGGGTTCCAAAGAGTTTGTCCTCTTGCCTCCCAGCTGCGACCAAAGTAGAGAAGCACTTTTGGCACTCCAGACCCGAGCTATCCTTTATCCTCTTCTCCGTGCTTCCTGCTTCGCTACATCACTGCACAACGATGTAAACATCTATGCCTACATGTGTATATATATATAATGTATAGTTATAGCTGTTCATATGCATAGTATGATCATATTATGTCCACACATTATGCATATATATATATACATATATGCATATATCTGTGTACAAGCTGGCGGACATCTATGCGAAGGGCCCCGTTTTTTGCATCTGAACCCTCTGCCACTTGATCTCACTTCGTGGGCGGCCCTTGGCACAGTGAGAACTGAGCTCATCTGCAGAAGTTGTTCCAAATTGGAGGGGGGGGTGCTCTGGAAAAAACAGAAAAATTTGGTGCCGTCGTTTTGGGGCGGGACCCCCAAAAATGTGGTTTTCCAGTTGGCTTCTCTTTGAAACCAACCCCAACAAGGGTGCCCTCCAAAGAAAAGCATCCGAATTAGTTTTGCGCTATTCCGCTTTCCCCTGCTCCACCCCCCCCCCCCCCACCCCCCTAATTACATGCCTCAGCCCAGGGGGATGTGAAGCCAAGCAGAAACACTACCAAACTTCAAGGGGCGCTCAAGCAGCCATTCTTAAAAGCCCATCCATCAAGGTTTTTGGCACACTCCAAACCGCGCCAGTGTCAAGCCCTGGGCGACCCAAAGCGGCCACTTGTGCCAAGCTGCAGCTGCCCCGGGGAGCAAGGCCGCAGCCAAGGGCGCAGCAGCTTCAGCACCCCCGCGAACATGCCCCGGCAGGCCTTCCGGGACAAACAAGGACGACTCAACGTATCAGAAGCCTTAACTTGCTTTTGGTTAAGCCTCCAGGATCAAAATAAAAATATGTCCAGTAGTGATGAATTCCTTTTAAACCCAGCAAGGGAAAATAACAAGTATTCTTAAGCTGGAGGTATTGACCCCATATTTTTACACCCCTGCTTATTAATATGGGGGTGTCCGGCTCCAAAATAATAAACAGGGGTTTATTGATCCGGGGTCAACCTTAAAGCTTCGTGCGACCCAAAACCCTGTGGCCCTCTGAACGGTTGTAACATGATGCTGCTCTCGGAGGGTCTGGCCGCATCCTTAACCAAGCTGCAGTCAAGTGGGCTCCGTTCCAACTGCAAATGCGCAGGCTACAGGTAAGTATTCCTGTCGAAACGAGTTCAATTGCTTTTAAACAGCATCCAAACGTGTGTCTTTCCGTTTGGGCTGCATCCGCATGGGCAATGTCTAAACTCCCTGTAGAGGAAATGAGCGGTGGTTGCCTTCCAGAAATTCGGCCCAAAGGAAGGAATCCTCAAGAACAAAGTCTCGCACGCCTCCCATCAATGCTCAGCGCAGAAATTCTGCTCGAATTGCTGGATGCCCGATGCAACGCAGAGAACTACCACAAGAGTGTTTGGTGGACATGAATTCCCGCCTGAAAGGGTATGGGTCAAAATTAAACCACCAGGGGACCGCAGGTTTTAGTCCATGTGTCCATTTTCCCGGGTTCGATTTTGGGGTTACCTGTTTTTTGACCCAGAGCCAAATGATGTCCACCAAAGCTTGCAAACCCCCAGTGAACGCATTGGTTTTAGCACCAGCCGGCTAAAGGGGAAGGCTGTGTGTCTCCTTTCTAAATTTTGAGGGTGCCATGTTGGGGTCTTTCCTGCTTGCCAATTTTGGGACAACAGTACATACTAGCATTACAAATGCTTCCACATCCACAAGGCCCCTGGCCTGGCAAGAAGGAACACAGCGTGGGCATCAAGCATGGCTGCTTGCTTTACCGAAGTGGGAGAACTAGAGGCCAGCACCTGCCCCCCCACCCCGTCCATGTTCAAAGGAAGTGGGGATGAGCTCAAACAAATCCGGAAAGGGCTTAGGCTCACACTAGGTAAGCTAGAGTCATTGAGAATTGCTCATTGAGAAGAACAATCAGGATGGATATGCCTTAGGATCATGATGTCAATCATGTCCGGATGCCACTGCATTAGGTAAGTTAAAGACATTGAGAAGAAAATCGACCAACGGACCAACGTAAGATCAGGCTGCTCCATTGACCTTCATGGGGCCCGAGGATGCAAACCCAGTGAATGACTTCGCGATTTCTGCCAGAATCCACGAGCCTTGGACTCGTGCCACGTTGGGGCCAACACATTTTTTGCCCAGTGGTTCAGAAATCCGAGAAAAAAGGTACGTATAACTCACACACCTGCTAGGTCCTCCAGTAAAGAGTGTAAAATAAGGGCACCCTTTTTTCTGTAGTCTGATTCAGTAGGGGAACCCTCCCAACCAAAAAAGGGGTGAGAAAGGGCACTACTGGGGGACCTAGCCTGATATGGGTGTGGCTCAAATTGAAGAGCCAGGGGACTGCAGTCCATTCACCAGGGTTTCTCTTTTTGGGGCCCACTCTTTTTGAGCCACACCGATAGGGTAGTCCTGTTGCAACACCCTAAATTCGGGCAAGTTTCCCTCAGACAGCCCCAGATGCATGTTTGTTCCAAGGGGAGTATGCGGCTGCCCCTCTGGCCATGACTTTACTTGACAAATCATCCATTTGCTGAAGTCCTCTGGAGAAAAAAAAGGTTTCCAGTGGTCACACATCCTTTCTTGGAACCACCAACGGAAACATGTTATATCATCGTTTTTATTATGTTCGTTTCAACTTAAGCAAATGGAACAACATAATAAACATAGGTGTCGTTTTAGTGGAAATAGATGGGTTTCCCTGGTAGATGATGAAACCACCAGGTAAACGAGGAGAACCCATCTATTTTTATGGCAAAACCACCAATAAGGACACCTATGACAATAAAGTTCATGAGGCAGATCGGCCTGGCAAGGCGTTTTGCTGGACGCCATGGCGATCGAGGGGATGAGATCGAATGGCGCTGGAAGGTGCATGAAGTTCAACCACTCTTTGTGAGCTTCTCATTTTTTATGCTGGACCCCCAGCTGTTTGGGAATTTTAAGCTGGACCCCCTTTGAGTTGGTCTGCAAATGGGAAGCAGAGAGAAATCCAGCCAGTCTAGGCGAGCGAATTCCTGTTTGAGAAACAGCTTTACTTTTACAATCAGCCGCTTTCTGTGTTTCCACAAGGGGGCTCTTCTTTCTGTAGCCGCATTTTCCACAACCATGGTTCACTACAACTCCTTTCAGTCGCCTTGTAGGAGTTACCGGAAATCTACCGCAGTCAGCTGAAGCAGCATATGGCAGCCACCTTGCTCTGCTTGAGGGCCAAGCCATATTCTACCAAATCGCGAAGTGGCATGCTATCTTGTTGCTTGAGCTGATGTGTGCATGGGGCTCTCCCCTCCATGTCTGGGCCGGATCTGGCACATGCAGCACCTTTGCATGCAAACGCGAAGGCATCTAGCGACGCATCAGGATCACTGGACAACCGGGACTAAACAAGACATACAAAGACATCTGCAGGTCAGGAACTATGCCCCTTTCCAAGTGCTGATCAACTCGGATGTTTCCAAGATTGGTGCAAACCTAGGTCCTCCAGTAGAGCAGATAGAATAAGGGTGCCCTTGTTTCTGTAGTCTACTTTAGTAGGGGAACCCTCCCTTAAAAAGGGTAAAAGGGCACTACTGGGGACCTAGAAACAATAGCGCGCAGGTCCAATGACGAGGATCCTACGATTGCAGAAGCTGATGTGTGTCCTCCTGCTAGCGTTGCACCTGTGGGAGAGCCGGGAGACCCAACACCGGTTAAAGGACCTGCAGTCAGATGCAACTCAAGTGTGCGGCAGGGTACTTTTAATATTCCATTATGTTTCTTATGTGACGGCATGCCCAGGCATCCAGAAATTCCTCCTTTGATTGATTCTGGCTGGATTCAAATGGCAACTATAGAAAGCAACTCACTTGCAGCATTCAACATCTTGAGGCATAATTACCCAGCACAGCCCGCGACTCAGCACCCTGGTTGGGCAGCCTTTGGCAACTAGGCGCGGAGGTCTCGAGTGAGTAGGGTGCTGTTTCGCTGTGGCGACTTTCCGCTGCACCAAACCATATGTTTAGGATCAGTTAACCCTCAATTGGTGGTTTGGATTGGTGGGTTTGGACATTTGATCCCGTGGCCCTTGTAGAGGGTAGATGGGGCAGCACCCCGGAGTACCGCCAAACCACCGAGCTCCAATCCAAGGTCAAACTTCCCACCAAGTGGGTGTGTCGCCTTTTTTTTTTTTTTTTTTTGGGGGGGGGGGCGGGGGCCCAACATGGCGGTTGTCTACCTTCAACAAAAAATAAGGCACCCAAGAATATATCGGCCAAGCTTTGTTTCACACCCTGCCCGCAGGACGTCCCCAAGGTCCGAGCTCTCAAACAGCTTCTTGACGCTCCAGAACCAGTAGGGCATGACCTGCGGCTCTGCGTTCATCTAGCCTTGCCCCAGGGAATGCATCCCTGTTAAGCCAAGAACTTAAGCACCACGGTGGGCCAACCTCCGGTTGAAACCTACTTCAACCACCCCATGGTTTCCCCCAGGCCAGAGCCGCCAGCTGAAAAAAAATGCCCAAGCCCGCATCCACAAGGATTTGCCTTGCCAAGGTTTTACCTGAAGGGCACAGCTCATGGGCTGATATAAAATTGCGTTGAGAAGCGCACTTGCAGAAGTCTTTCACATCCAGCATTGCCGAAAATCGAAACTTCGAAAGGAGAGCACATGCTCATAGACTGCTGGTCAAACAGGTGGCAGGCAGCTTGCACCCCAACTCCAACCATCTGACTTTGTTCATGTCATATATTTACATGCACTACTAGGTCCTCCAGTAGAGAGGTCAGAACAACGGTACGAACTTTTTTCTGTAGTCAATTGTTGGTAGGGGAAAACTCCCAACCAAAAAAGTAAAAGGGCACCTGGCTGGGGGACTAGACTAAGATGCCCATCTCTGAACACGGGCATCTAGAATGTTCAATGTGTATCGCTCACCTCCCCACTCATGGCCAGATCTCAGTGGATGTGGGTTTCTGTATTACACCTGGGATTATACCTTGGGAAATGATCCCGAATGGTTGAAAATAACGCGGTTTTACTCGGAAATGTGCCTAAATGGGGTCAATACCCAGCCGGTGTATTCCCAGGGTGTAATACACACACAAAAAAACAACCCAAACAGAAACAAAACAAAAAAGCACAAAACAAATCTTAGACAGGGGCTGCGGGCTCCAGTGCGGGAACTGCAGAGCACTGCAGAGCTTGGCCCCCGGGCCACCCAAAAAAGCCAGGGGTACTGGTACGACCAGGCCTTGGCCAGAGCTACGAGCTACGAGCCACGGCGCCTCTTGAAGTTTTTAGCTTGGAGTGGTCAATGGTATGGTGTTTGGAGGCCTGAAGGCTTGCATGCCACTCATGGAAGCTGGTAAGGTGAGATACATCCCTTAGTACATAACCTCCATACCTCCAGAAAATGATCTTGAAGTGTTTGAAGGGCCAAGAGTCAAGCCATGACTCTTGGGGTCCATCAATTCTGACGACCCACTTTTTGCACTTCTCGAGGGAGGCATCCAGGCTTGTCTCTCAGCAAAAGGCTGGAGTCCAATTGAAAATTGAGACAAACGGGCGCGCAAGGAAAAACAAAACAATTGGGCTTTCTGGTAAACAAAAAAAGTTTGGGCTGCTTGACAAGTCGATTCAAAGCAACGCAACGCCTGCCGGTTTTTCTTCAGTCCTGAGCATTGGAAACCCCAAAGTGAATCACTTGTTGCTATCCCTCCCTCTCTCTCTTTCTCTCTGTTCTCTTCCTGCTCTCTCTCTCTCTCTTTCTCTCTGTTCTCTTCCTTCTCTCTCTCTCCCTCTCTGTCTGTCTCTCCCTCTTTCCCTCGATCGCTCGCTCACCTCTGATCTTGCGGCCTTGGGAAAGCGGGGGGCCAGATTCTGTTCAGGGAAGCATCCACAGTGTGAGGGCCCAACGGACTGGCATTCAGCTTAGAACCAAATCTATCGCCGTCTTTTGGGGCAGGCATGTAGGAATGGTGCAGTGGATGTTGGTCCGTTTGGCAAAAAAAAAGAAGCTCAAACCATGCTAAATGGCATTTTCAACATGGGAGCCTTTTCCCAGCGCCATCTGGTGTTGCCCTGCATTTTGGGCTTCGTTCCGGGGTCTGCTTTCAAGGTTTGCGGACAAAGTACAGATCTTGCGCCAAGTTGGCTGTTGCCGCAGGGCTCGAAATCCGATTCCGAGGTTCCCATCCCCTTCCTTTCTTCCTTGCCCTGGGGCCGTGGGCAGATGTCGGCGAAACATGCTGAACGTCAAGCACCATGGAAAACCAACAGGGCCTGGTCCGACAACATGAATTGAGCGTGCAAGTTGCTAGATCACACCAACTGTCTCACCCCAAAGTTCCGAGAAAGAATCAGTTCAATTCAAAGTGGTCTTCCCAGGGTTCCGCCCAAATCTTCAAAACGTGTGGTGTAACTTTTGAATTGTTGGCTTGAAAGGCAGAGCAAAGGAAGTTCAAGCCGTTTGGGATTCTTTGGAGGGGTCCCCCTAGTTGCGGAAACCTGGAGTTGCGCTGAGGTGAGGTGCAATCGCGTGAATGCCCTGGAAGGATATGATGAAGGAGTAGGCCAGCTTGAACAGCACCCGCTGCACCTTTCCGAAAGAGATACAGCACGGGCACGGATGCCCCATCTGCTTGAGGGGAAATACTGTGGATGGACGAAATCCTGCACCACCTAAGAAACCCTGGGGTGATGCTTCACCTGTAAATACCACCAAACCATTGCTTCCCATGGTTTCCCACGGTTTCAAAGTGGTGCAGGATTTCGTCCACCCACAGTAGGACACAACTTACGGACGAGGGAAGAAAGGCTGACCCCGTGGTCTCTGAAGTAAGGTCAACCCGTCATCAACTGCGCTGTCTCCAGGAGCGAGCCTCACCATATCCTTGACTGGAACCAATGCGCTTTGCAAGCTTAAGTCGCATGCGGCAAAGAGTTTGTAGAGAAATCGGCAGTTGGGACATCTCACTTGCCCAGGGTCGGAATACAACTCACTTGCATCTGGAAACGAAAGCCTTGACTAATATAGATCAACTTGTGAAAGCCGGAAACGATGTGGAGGTCTGGTTCATTCGATTCTGGACTGACGAAGCCAGCGCATCTCAGCTAGCCCTGGAGGAGAGTTCCCGCCCAGTTACCTGCTGCAATGGGAAATGGAATCGCTGGCAATGGACCACGCCCGGAGGCCACACATCTGTGTAGAGAGAGAGAGAGGGAGAGAGAGCGGGGGAGAGATCAAGAACAAAACGCCTTCCATACTATGGAATGGGTGTTTGCTGCACGATGCTTAGTCTAGAAAGAACAACTCTGTTGTGAGTTGGGTTCACCTAGTTTCGATAATGTAGCAGTCATTGTCTCTATCGTTCTCCAGTGCATGATCAAATCGCAAACTTAATCCCTTTTGCTGTGGGTTTCAATTGTATTGAGCAACCGGAAAGCCTCTCATACCGAGCAGCCAACTGAACAAGCAAACATCGTTCTTCTTCAACCAGCCTCCCAAAACAAACAGAGTCTCCTATAAGCTCTGCCTCGGTACCCTTCACCAGCCAAAGTTTTAGTTGAAGTGGTTGTCTTGAACTCAAAACCAAATGGAAACTAGGCAAATGGGACCAAATACAAAAACCTGAACCCTAGCTCTTTGCTTTTGAGCCACAAGCGGCACCTTCAACGGGGGACCTACACAGGAGCCCGGCAAAAGCTTTGGGATTCGATCGCCTCTGGCCCGCGGAAGTATTTCAGCAGCGGCCACATGGTGATATTGTTCACCTTTGAAGCGAAAGGCGGCTTTTCCCGCACGCTTGCGCTGCGAGGCCTCTTGCTGTCCAAAAACTGCGGTGTCCCACCTTCTGGTGGAAAAAAAAACAGATTTTTGGAAACGGCTCGAAACCGCGGACATATTCCCCATGTTATGAAACAAATGATGCCATGGGCCCTGAAGCCTTCTGACTTGGGGGCCCACCTGGCGTAAAAGCCACACTTAATTTCTGGGTCAAAGGACAAAGTTGATTCAATTTACCAAAGGTCTCCATTGAGACCGCCACTTTTGGAGCTTCCAAAAAAAAGGGCATGGAGGACACCCTGACAACCCCCTTAATTCTCGTGCACAAGAAGGGGCGCTGAGTCTAAGCCCTGTTTGCGCACATGAGGGGAAAGAGCCCGAGCTCGAGAGAAAACATTGGATGCGTATGGATGCGTTGGATAGCTGGGCTCTTCAAAATTGAGTGTTGGCCAATCCCAATCCATGAGATCTACTGGAAAACCACTACAAAGGGGGTTCCCTTTGACAAAGGCGACTTTTTCCCCATAACCCAAGGCGGATTGCGTTTCAACAGCCCACCCCAATTCTGACAAGATCGAGAATTGCGTGGTGTAAACAAAATGCTGGGAACCAGTTCACGCTCTGAGATTGCAGGTGCAAAACATCAAAGAGTCCCTCCACAGACCCACAGGCCCCAAAGCTACAATATGGCACATGCATGTTTCACATGTTCCCTGGACACCTGGAAGCTTGGTCAAGATGAACCCCCGCAAACTGGGTGAGGGCTCGCCCATTAATAAAACTATCGATCTATGTCTCGGTTCCCTTATAGCCAACAGACATGTATGGGACAGGAATTACTTTGAGTACAGCCACCGCACCGCCTCCATACATTAGGGTGTGCGGATGCATCGGACGAATTGGACAGACCAAAGCCCCCACAACGATCCCAGACTTCTATTTGCTTAAGTCCACTGGACAAATATGAACATATTTCCAGTAGTGAAATCGATTCCCTTCAAAACCAGCAGGGGAAAAGAAAATGAAACGCAAGTGGAAGCAGAAAATGAAACGCACACTTTGGCCCGCCGTTTCGCATTTGCTTCTTGAGGTGGCGCTGCTGGAGAAAAAAAACAAAAGAAGCGGTGTTTTGGTTGGGCTCCCCTTTTTTGCCCGTGGGCTCGCATCCGCAACCCAAAAGCGGGCATCCCCTTCTTGCGAGCGCGGGCTCGCATCTAAACCGTGCTAAACCCCAAACACACGCTACCAGCTGGGCACCTGGCTTCCCGGCGGGTTGGTTGAGATGGGAGCCCGCCAACCATACGCGGGAGAACATCACTCAGTTTGGGGGCTATTGTTTACGCGGGAACCCTTTAAACAACAAAAGGAACACCGCGGTTTTTGTCCTTTGGGCAAAGGTGTGCCTAGAACCCACTAACCAAAAGGGAGACACACACTCATTTTTGGGGCTTCGCATTGTTTACCTGGGAACCCTTTTAAACCAAAAACATGGTTCGTCCGACTGGGGCAAACGTTCTGCCTATGAAACGGCTGCTGCCGGGCTGCCATGAAGATGATCCAGGTGGACACTGCCCAAAGCACGCCTTCCGAGCTTCCGAGCTTCCGCTGGACGCTTGACGATCGGTGCGAGAGATGCGATCGGGAATTCCCCCCACCGTCAGGAGGAGGGGGGTGGGACCCTTTTTCTAGTCTTCCCCATAAAAGGGAAAATGGGACCACAAATGGAATTCCAGGGGTCACCCCCCTTCCCCAATTCCATTTTTCCGGGGGTGGGGATTGCAAAAAATGAGACGGGGAATGACCCGGGGGATTCCATCCAACTGGTGGCAATCCCTAGGTTCAGGTTCTCAAAGAATGAGAAATGGAGTCTGACCCCAAGAGAAATCATCTTCAGTCTTGGGTGACGTTGAAAGGGGAGCAAAAAATTCAATTTTAGCAGCCAAGTGGGGATTTCCCACTAAACCACAATAAGCAAAAATGTAAAATGTTTCCCAACAACAACCAAGCAGTGGTGGTTTCCGGTTCAATCCCAACACCCGGAAGGTCAGTCCCTATCGCAGCAGCAAGTGAAAGGTGGCGAAAGACCGTTGGCATAGAACCTGCTCAGTTGCAACCAGTTTGGACCCAGGAATGACAGGTGCTCGCCTTTTGGGGCCAAACATGGGAAAACCGAAAGGTGAAAAGGTCGATTCGCTTTGGACAGGCTACACTTTGCTTGAGGCTTTTCTGTGTCCAAGACCCTGATCTATTTGCTTGAGGCCCCCTTTAACTCATTTGCCTAGAAGATCTGGAAGTGCAAGGTGATTGCTTTTGGGGGCCATGACTCAAAATGAACCAAGGGAAAAACCACGAGGCCAACAGGTCAATTCGCTTTAGGCAAGGGAGAGTCTCCCAGCAACCTATCCCTTCTGCAATCCATACAGGTGTGTTCAAAGGATCTACGCTTGGGAAGCCCATCTATCAAGAAGCGGCCCCTAGTTTTAATAAAACACCTCCATCTCTTGCAAGAAGCTGTTGAACCGTCTGTACGCGTTGCACTTGCAGATTGGCAGGGCCGGCCACATGTACGCAACCTGGGGCTCACTTGCTGCAAACAAACCTGATGCGCATGTCCAGGCAAACTAAGCCAACTAGGCCTTCCAGTAAAGAGGTTAGAACAGGGGTACCAACCTTTTTCGGTTTTCTCTATTTTAGTAGGGGCGTTACCCTCCCCCAAATCTCAGGGGTGAGACAGGTTGCACCAATTGCTGGGGGGCCTAGCCAAGGTTGGAAGCCACGGGGAACTGAAAACAAGTAGCTGAGAATTCTTTCGGCCTGGAGCCTGCCCTCACGGCACCAGCCAAAACGAGGCGGTCAAAAAAAAGGCGAACCAAACTCATTGCATAAACGCGAGCCGTTGACACACTGCATGTGTTCTACAGTTTTGCTGGAAGGGCCTTGTGGTCCTGGAAGACCACATGCAAATGTGGGGGGGGGGGGGGGGGGCGCAGTGGATGCCCTTAGACCTTTGCGTGGTTGGTTTGATTACAACAAGGGAACCAAGGGCTGAGAGTGAAGGACAGTGGGGCACGTCTGCAACATATCTTGTTCAATGTCTTTGCTTTATGTTTCAGCGAGGGCCAACATGACGCATTGACTTGGGGCTGGTGGTGGGATCAGATGTGGCGGATGTGGTTTCTTGGGATATCCAGGAAACCCACCGTACCCTAGGTCCTCCAGTAGAGAGGTTCGAATAAGCATACCCTCTTTCTGTAGTCTATTTTAGTAGGGGAATCCTCCCAAACAAAAAGGGGAGAGAAAGGCCACTACTGGGGGACCTAGTCCAGGAAACCCACCGTACCCGTTCGGGACCCGAGCTCCCCCGAAGAGGCCCTATGCTGTGAACCTGCCTGGGGACTCGCGCAAGCATCGCTCCTGGCGAAGCGAACTGGAGGCAAAGCCACGCCCAAGAAGCCCCTAACAAGGATCATCCGCCTTGGAATGAGGTACCAATCTTGCTGTTTCACCAAATCGCTGAGCTTGAAGACGCTGGTGCAAACTGTGTTCTTTGCTAGGATCCAACCATGCAAACTCTTCCATGGTCAGGCGAATGCACCCGGTGGGAGAGGCTCAACAAGCCTTGAAATCTCCACCTCTTGCAAGGCTTCCAGCAAGCTTACATTCCCTGCCTGGAAAATAGAGACTTGCAGCCTCTTCTGTGCTCGGCTTAATGTCATCCACCGCCTGATCAAACTCCCAGAAATCATCATAAGAAACTCCAAATCCTCCTCTGCAAACGCTGTTGCTGAAGGTTCATCCCCGTGCGCCAACTCTTCACCACCCACCATGTAAACACGCAGCTTCTTTTGTAATCAAGCCCACATTTCCTGCACGCACTGGTGGTGCATCCAAGCGCGCACGTTTTGGAGCCTTAACTTTGACGTTCTTCTGAGGCCTCGCTTCTTCTAAATCACTTGGTGCAGCTCGGGAAGAGCTCGCGGTCCGTAGCAGTAACATCCATGTTCTCGCTAACTGGCTGCAACACCGACTGAAAGAAAGTGTTCGCTCTCTCCATGTCCGACTTGGAGCGTGCACCCTTGCAAAAACACCATTTCATGCCACTCCGCAACACAACATCATTGTAACCCGCACGCTTGCAAAACGGCTCTCTTTGCTCAAGTATCTCAGCCAGCGCTCGGTGCCCTTGTCGACAGGGATTGCTTCGCGTCTGTCTGTCATGTAACACAAGCACTACTTTGTCCATCCCGCCAAAAAAAGAGGTTCTGTTCTTGCCGCTGTCAGATTCAGTCAGGGGATCTAGGACCTAGGGGTAGCCTGAACTGCCGGTTTCAATCAATGTTTGCATCAACATTTCTTTGCAAACTTGACGCAAACTCTTGTTCGACATTGAAGGTGGTTGGTCAACCGAACTGGCCGAGATTTCCCCGGACGCCCTCCAATTGGCTTGGGAACTTGAACCCCTTGCTCTTCTAAAACTTCTACAAACGGCCTCTTGAAGGCATGTTGCAATAATATATATATATATGTACACATATGTATATATCTGTAATCTATATGTATATATGAATATGATATATATATATATATATATGCCTACCATGGAAGGACCTTTAGAGGAAGGCGCTGCAACAGCTGCCCTACAGCTTGAGGTGGGCCGCGACCTATGCCCATCCCCCCCCCCCCCGGGGCCGAATGCGTGGGCGTGCCTCAATGATGGCATACAGAACGATGCCAATCTGCATGGCCCCAGTCCTGGGCCAAAACTGCCCGGATGTTTTCAACCGCCTGAGTTAAGGGCAGTAACCCCAGCCCAAGCTATAAAACCATGGGTATAACCTACCAAGTTCCTTAAACTTCGACCCCCTGCGACAAAAGGCAATTGGTTTGCACTGCCGGATATGTCCAATGGATGCCCGGAGGGCGTGCGCCTCCGAAGACAGAAAAATGGTTCCAATGCATTGCGCCAACCCGAGCGTTTTTCTTGCTT